CCATGGATCAATGTTACACAAAAACTAAGTAAAGATAAAAGGACACTCAAATAAAGTTAATCTTGCGACTATTCTTTATTTTATGTTGATTAATGTTAAATGTTTTTATATATTAATTAATTTGTTCGTATGTTTTTGGTAAAAAATATGGGGAAGGATGTAGAGGAATGTGGATGCAGTCCTGAGACACCTCTTCCCAACTCTGGAGGTAGAGTGTATTGTAAGACATAACATTGGTGGTGTTGCTGAATTGTCAAGGTAATCGTTTGAAGGGCTTGGTGGGGAAGATCATTATGGCAGGGCAGTGTGAGGTAACGGGCAATTATGAGTAGAAATTTTGTAGAAGCAATGAGGGAAGGTGAAGGGGATGCTCTCTTGTCGATAGATCGGAGAGGAGCTTGCGACTCAGTTTTAAGAAGTACACTAGGGAGTGTTGTGGAGTCTCCGGATTTTGGGATGAGGTCATGGAATACGGGCCCACTTTATGCGGTAAAAAATGAGTTAGGTGCCTATTAATGAGTGGTTGAGATGTACAGTAAGGATAGGTAAGGGATATCGTCATAGTTATTCAGTGTCCTGTGTCTTATTCAGAGTCAAAGATTTATTTACACATGATACAACATTTTTACAGAAGTAGGAGACATTTAGTTGTGCATGCAGAAAGCCCATAGTTATGCAGAGCATTTGTTTCCAGCTCTCATTTTGTTGTATAGTGAGGAGTGAACTGTGATCCATAACGTATGGGAGGGAAGGAGAAGGAAGGGTGTATCCAGCAGCAGTGAGTTATGTCGATGACAGTACTTCTGCCTCGGAGAATCTTCTCATTTCGATATATTGGGAGCCATGGTGAGTGTCATCGCAGAGGCGACTGGGTTGAGTGCCACCGAGACAATGGCATGGGTTTTGTGGCTAGGGTTATAGACCAACAGGGCGGAGTGGGATTGTTCTTTCATAAAGGGCCAGGTGAAACTTTGAAAGTATGTGAAATACATTATGCAAGGCACGAGGGGCTTGAGTGGAGGGCGAATTGAGAGAATGTTACTGAGCGTGTATGCAATCGACTGAGGATTCCAGGGCAGTGGCTGCTCAGTCTCACAAAAGTTAATTGTTTTGTAGCTAACATTTGTCCTTTAACGGGTGGTTTTAAAGAAGATTCAGACGGAGGTTTTTGGATTTGTGTGGGAACAAGATGCGAAGGATTAATGAGGTTGATTACCTTGCGTGTGAGGCAGGTGGATGAGGGATATTTGACCTACGTTGAAGAGTGTTGTCCTTGCGTGAGGCGGTACAGCGGTGCACAGTACATTGAAGGTTAGGTTAGGTAAGGTTTGTCAGGAACCAGGACAAGTGTCTCCTGACGCGGGTCTTAGATGATGACCCGCCATTAGAGCTTTTGGTCATCTGGCCGAGGCCTTCCGCTGGCTTACCTGTCCACCCCTTTAAAAATTATGGTCAGGGTTATAACCATTTCTTCTAGTACATTCAAGAATAGTGTTGAGGGTTTATATTTTCAAATGCGGGACGAATTTAGAGGGGCAGGATTATTATTATTATTATAATCAAAAAGAAGCGCTAAGCCACAAGGGCTATACAGCGCTGCATAGAGGGACAGGAGATGAGAGACTGTTTGAATCTAAAGAGGACCTTGGTTTTTTTTTTCGCCGGTATTCTCCCGGCCCGGGTCTTTTCCAAGTAGTGGTGACCCGGCCTTGATAACGGTGTGGAAGTCAGAGGGAGCGCCACTCAGGACGTTGTATGGGTTGTTAATGCACGAAGCAAGGTCACCAGTCGAATATATAATTATCTCAGGCACTACGGTTTATATGGAGATGCCAGTGACAAAATGCAAATTATATGGACAGAGACAGAGCCATACACTGGAACACATTTTCTTAGTGTCCACACATACAACATTTCGGAGACACATCCATGTAAATCTTACGGGATATTGCAAATCACGTTATCAATAGTAAGTTTATTTAGGTACAGGTACACATAAGTACAATTATCATACATAGCAACATATGTGTAAATTACCTAAGATAACCCAAAAAGTCAGACAAAGTGACTTACTTCCATTGGAGTCCTTGTAATATCTTATTATTTCGAATAGATGAACAAACTGAATTTAAAGAAACTACAACCCAATAATCACTAATGTTTCAGTGGTAATAAGATTTTTTTTTTTTTGGAGATTGTATCTCCATATTTTATTGAGTATATTAGCTATATGAAGAGACTGGAATAAATTTAATGGCTATAGCACATTTTTTTGTGATGTAACAATGCCTGGTGGGATCTGATAGACACTATGTCACCTGTGTATTTTTTTTTTTTTTGCTCTACCGGTGAATTATGGTTCCAAGTATGTATTAATATTATTTTTTTTTTTTTAATATTTAAGTTTTCGAAATATTCCCCTCTTACCCATGGGAGGGGAGGGGATAGGGGAAGGATGTTTATGTTTAAGTTCCCTCATCTTTTATAAATCCGTCTGATTAAGGCAATAAAATACTAAAAAAAAATAGTTTCGGCAATATTCTGAAAAAACAGAGTTAAGAAAACTATTTGAACATCTTGAACAATAAATAAGAGAATAAAGATTTACACATCAGCTCCCTCATTCACCAAACCCGTTCAGGCACCTCAACAAAATACCTCAAGATTCCCGTATTTCCTTTCAGCAGTAACGATGAAGACACTGCCAAGACGACGGCTCCATCTTGAACTTACTTAATGTTAAAAATACTTGGAGGGCGGGATTAAACCCGGGCTTCTCACATGCGAAGCGAGCACTCTACCTCTGAGTTACACCCCCACCACTTCTTAATACTTTTTATGCTACACTTACGTTTCACAATAACACATTTATTACACTTTATTTCCATTTTATAGGGATGTAGGTTTATTTTGGTACAGTTCTACTTAATTCTTGGATGATTGTAATTGTCCTACATAGTAAGATAGATGTCTAAATTATCTAGAATAACTCCAAAATAATCAAACTGACTTACTTACTTCTACTGGGTAAGTTTATTGAGATCAGGTACACATAAACAATAAATAATGTATCAACATCCCACATAATTACTTTTACCTGGGAAAACCCCCCCCAAAAAAAAAAAAAAAACAAGTGACTTATTTCCACTGAGGTCCCGGAAGGGGGGATAATATGATATAGTTTTAAAGCCACATACCAATGGAAATAAATAATTTTCTGATTTTTTTTTTTTGGTGTTTTTTCCTAGGAAAATTTTACACATATATTCATTTATTTATATATTACTATATAAAAATTTTTGTGTAACGTATTTATGGTACCTTACCTATAAAAATACATAAACTTTTTTACATTTCATATCTGAAAAACATTTTCTGAGGTGAAATATACGGGAAAGGAACAGTAAAATAAATAAAATTTCTGCAATATATAAATTTTCTTTTATACTTTCCATATATAACATAAAAAAGTTTTTTATTTAGGATTTTGCAATAACAACATAAATTTATTGACTATTTTACATAATTTGTACAGTGTCTTGTTAAGATTTTATGAACAATTTTTATTAGTAGATGTAACCTTGTATAACGGAATTAATAAATTTATTATTATTGTTTATAGTAACAGTAAAGTGGTAGTAGGTAATAGTTTAGTATAGTAGACTTGGGTAGTATATATCAGTGGTATAATAAGAAGTAAAAATGGTAGTAAAGTGTAGTAGTAATAGGGGTAGTAACAGAAAATATGATAGTGTAAATAGTGTAGTATATTATAGGGGTATTAGTTATAGTGGAGTAGTATAATAGTGGTAGTAGTAGTTATAGGGGTAGTAGTATAATAGTGGTGTAGTATAATAGTGGTATAGTATTATAGGGGTATAGTAGTATACTTGTGGAAAAATGTGGTATAGTATACACTTTTGGTAGAAAGTGGTAGAGTATAAAGTGGAGTAACATAAGGGGTAGTAGTAATAGTGGTGTAACATAATAGTGATAGTAGAAGTAATAGGGGAGTAGTAGTTATATGGTATTAGTAGTTATAGGGAAGTAGTAGTATAGTAGTACTTGGGGAAATTAATAGTGGTATAAGTAGAAATTTTGGGGTATAATTGGTAGTAGTATAAAGTGGTAGTAGTAGCTACGTGGACAGTAGTTATATGTAGTAGTATAGTATACTTGTGGTAATAAAGTGGTATAGTAGAGCACTTGTGGTAGAATAGGGTAGATAATAATAGTGGTAGAAACATAATAGTGGTAGTAGTATAAAATGGAGTATAGTTACTTGGGGGTTATAGTATCAGTGGTAAAAATAGGGTAGTAGATAAAAGTGGCAGTAGTAGTAGTACTTGTGGTAGAATAGGGTAGTAGTATAACATGGTAGTATAGTAGTCTTTTGGGTAAAAATAGGGAGTGTAGTAACAGTGGTAGTAGTATGGTACTTGGGGATAGTATATATAACAGGGTAGCAATAGTGGTGGAAGAGTATAACAGGGGTAGTAATAGTGGTTGTAGTAGAACGGGGTGAGTAGTAACAAGGGTAGTAGTAAACAGTGTAGTAATATGGTTGTAGTAGAACAGGGTAATAGTAACAGTGTGTAATAGTGGTTGTATATAACATGGTAGAAATAGTGGTGGAGTAGTAGTATAAAGTGGTATAAGGGGTTGAGTAAAACAGGGGTAGAGTAGAAACAGTGGTAGAGTAGAACAGGGTAGTATAGTAACAGGGGGTATATATAACGGGGGGTTTAGTAGTAACAGTGGTATAGTAGTCATGGTAGTAAAGTAACAGTGGTATATAGTAACAGTGGTATAGTATAACAGTGGTATAAAGTGTAGTAGTAGAAATAATAGCAGTAGTAGTAATAATAGTAGATTTGGGCTCATAATAATGTAGAAAAGTTTAAATTTTTTGCAATAATTTAGTATAGTGCTTTGTAGAAATTTTCCCTTTTGATTATTGTTTTGACTATCGGTTATCCAAGGTTACACCCTACATTTTAAACATTTCTGCATGTCCGCTTAATATGAAAATTTGGGGCTGAGATTTGTCCAGGGAGTCGGGAACTATACGCAGGGAAAGGAATAATAAAAATGACCTCAAAGGGCAGGGGCCATATAGGGGAAACAAGTGTAGTCAAAATAAGATAAAACCAATATTGCAAAAATAGAAATACCGGGAGGAAATAGCAAACAAAGGACTCCACTAGCAATATGAGGAATATTTCCAAAAACAACTGGTGGGGAGCTCCATTTTTGTGCTAGGGAGGATAGAAGTAAGACAGGGAAACGCACCAAAAGGGGAAACAGTCACAGAAACCCAAGGCAAAAGGAAAACCCAAACCTGTGCACATACATGCACTTGGTATCTGCTGGCATGGGAAAACTGGAAAAACAATGGGACTGCAACTATACCCCCTAGAAAATGCCCCGCCCATAGAAACAGGAAAATGCAAACCCCTTTCCTTAATTTTTTCCCCTAACTGTGTACCTCTTCATACAGGAAAGCTGTGCATAACTTTAAAAAAGCCAGGGATACCATCTAAAGGGGACAAAAAAATACAAAACATCCAGGGGCCCGGGAAAACCGGGGACCACAGCCCCTCAAAAGGGGGGGGGGTTTTTTTGTGCCAGGAGGGAAAAAAAAACTGGCAGGAAAGGCAAAATCGTACACCAAACCATCATTCCTGGAGGGAACCACATCGATGGCCCCCACTCCCAAAAACCCAAAAATACAGATACTAAGCCGGAAAAAAAAATCCCCCCCCCCGTACCAACAATACCACCAGTCCGATAACATTCTTCTTGGCAAATATACGGGGCTAAAACCAGCAACAAACAAAAAAAACCTTTTACCGGACTGCTTTCAGAGGCAAAGGCAATGTTCGCGGCTTTCACGAGACCCACATAAAGGTCACATGACAACGAATATGGATCCCCAGGTACAACCTATACAATTTTACAAGTGAACACAAAAGGG